AATCGCGTGTTCTAATGATTGCATCGTTAGATTGTAAACATCTACAAAAGTCGTAATTTCAGCATTTATATTGAAGGATCGTTTACGGTGATGCCTTATTTTAAATAATTTAACACACGAAATACAGTAATCATGTAAAAATGTAAAAAATATTTTCTCAATCTCCACCAACGTCAAGACAGACAATTTGCAAGTTGTCGTTTAGAACATAATTTAACTCTATTCTCTGTAAATTTGTTGGTCAAGCTACTTGCTATCCGCGACCGCAAGTCTGAGAATAACTCGTATGATATGCCAGTTTGTCTTGTCGAGAACAAGAAACTTTTAATTGGTGTTAACCACTTGGTAAAACTCGTCCCTACGTGTCCGTCACCTGCTAGACACATCTTTTCCTGCCACGGGGAACTATAAACTTCAACCTTTTCATCACCTCCCAACCCAAGCTGTTCATTACCGCCTCTTCATCGCGGTGGAACGTTCTCGAGTGTCCGGAGGGGCCGCCTGTGGCAGGCGCTGGGGGTCGGCGCGTCGAGTCCCGGGTGGGGCCTAGCGAGAGAAAGCTGTTCGGACAGAGTGCTGGGCGCGGGCGGTGGCGGCGGCCGCGGCGGCGTTGCCTGAAGAAACACGCCGCCCCGGTGCCCCGCTGCGCCGCCGCCGCCGCCGCCGCCGCCGCCTTTGCCTCCGCCTCCGCCGTTGCCTGGAACTCCAAGGTCCCTGGCAACGTGACGGAGCGGCGGCGGCGGCGGTGGCGGCGGAGGCTGCAGCGGACTCGGGCGCAGAGGAGCCAACGCTTGGCGAGTTGTCCCTGATGCGAGTCCTGACAAACGAGCGGGGCCGATTTTCTCGCGTTTGAATTGAAAAAAAGTGGTAGTTTGAAAAGACAGATGTGGTATGGTTTTGGCTGTTAATAGTATTCGGAGAAACTTTCCAGTGTTAGAATTCTAACAACACTTACTCTGAAATACTCTGTGTTAACCGAGGTTGGGGTCCTAACAAGAAACTGGGCACAAACAACTCTTTCTCCCACTTGTTTTCTCTCAAGTGTCCAATCGTATCACAAGAAGTATTAACTACCTTGAGCTTAGATTTTTATGCAAGTAGAGAGCTTTACGAGTGCTAACTAATCCAAACAACTACTACAGACTTCTTATCGTTTCAGGAAATAGTAGATGTCAGCGAAATCAAAGTGTTAGTGACATAGAAATTGGAATCAAAGCACAGTAAGAAATTTACACGGCTAAGAATAGTCGTGACATACCAGGAAATGACCAATTATTGGTAATGTTAAAGCTACGCAATGAAGCTGGCAATGGTATTCATAATTGCTGTCGTAATGATGGCGAGGAAGAGCGGAGGCATATAGCCGCAACGGAGAAGCAGCTTACAGACTGGTTGAGCGACTGCAAGAGAGCGGGCCGGGTAAGATCAGAAGATGCCAGAGGAGCGCAGAGTTGTCGTGGAGGCTGTCACGGGGAGGGCGCTCATAGCAACAGGGGGAGAACGGGCCTTCGAGAAGGCGGCGGCCGCGGTGCAACAAGCGGCTGCGCCGGTATGAGACAGCGGCGACTGCGAGCTGGCGGCGGCGGCGGCGGCGGCGGCGGCGGCGGTGTCGAGGCGGGGACCCCGTAACGGGACTTCTTTTGCAACCGCGCGCCCCGAGAGAAGCCAGCGCCCACTTTCGATTTTGTCTCGGCGGCGTAGGGCGTTGCCGGCCGGCGGATTCCGCGTGGGCGGGCCTGACGTGGCAGCGGAAGCGGGGCGCCGCGAGGCCCCTCGGCTCCTTCACTTTCTTGAGGCCGGAAACTACACAATGTGTCACAGCCGCGGCTCGCTTTCTTCTCATTTCAATACTTATGACATAAGAGCACGACATGTTCGGAAGGGATTTGAATCTTCAATGTGTGTTATGTAATGCGGAAGATGAAGGTATAGTACTTCTCACTGAATAATAGTGGGTATAATGTGGTGAGAGAAATATGTCTGATAGACCGTGACATTTATTATCTAGAACAATAGCAGTAGTTGAGAAGTGAGAGTAAAATTGTAAATTAAGTAATTTGCATTAAAAATTACAATTCATGCAGAAGTAAATAGTTGACGATAAGCATTAAATTTCAAAATTATAACCTAAATCTTTTCAGTGACGACTTTTTTCTCTCTACAGAAAATACGAGTACACGTGGAGAAGGTATCATAAAAGTAATGATATGGAGTCTTTTGAAATATAATATTATTGCAAATGTTTTATGTAGCTTGAATATTCATTGCATTATCAAGGAATGATAATCTTTATGAGGCCCTCTCTCACGATGTACACGTTTCCTACTACCTCGTAGAATCGACGGAAGTCTCACCAGATTCTTCACACACATGATGTTCGTAAGGCCTGTATTGCGTGCCTCTCATCTCCACACGCTCAGCATTTCTTTCCGCTTTTTGTGACACATATCCTTGGAATGATAAACTTCCGAATCCTTTCGGCAAAAAAGACAATGGTGAAAGGAAAAAAGTTCGTTCCTGACCCATTGTTTGCATCCGTACATCACGCAAGCTTGTTAGTTGTCAAAAAGTACGGAAATAAATTCTGAGTCAACGACAAGGTTAAGGAATAACGGGAAAACTACTTCGCAATTGCCAAGTTTAGTTTTATCTGACTCACTACTACCCAAAATAAATCACGATCTGCACCTTTGCTTACATTTTTATAATCTCAGTTCTCAATGACACTAAAGACAGTGTTTGAGTAATTCGTAATATCACTATGATGCTATTATAAAGTGTGCTTATTATAATTTAAATACTGAATATTGACAATCCTCATTGAAGAACATGATTTCATTTTCAGTTACTGAGAAATCCTGTGCATACACTAATCTCAATGCCTAAACTGACACTGTGAAGCTTACTAGTTGCATCGTATTGTCGTTGCAATGACTAACTTTCCAGTGTTGCGGAAGTCCGCGGTGTTACCCCCGTTGCCGCCTCCGTATGAACGTCTTAACTTTCTTTTTTAATGAGTCATGCAATTCAATGAATTCTTACAATTCTCTATAACAAGTAATGAATTCAAGTCTTTTCTATATATTAATGATTTCACAATCAACTTTAGCAGATTACAAAATTCAATTTTTACGACAAATTCGCTTGAAAGTGAGTTAGCATCTGTTAGTTGATTTTATCCTGACTTTTGGTTGCCAAGCACCAAGAAACAAATGAAAATATTCACTACGTTACACCGGTACCCGCAATCTCATGTGATATAAGATAATTTTAAATTTTCTAAATTTTGACGATTATTCTTCGATCATCAGTAGTCTTTCATTCCGTCACTTATCAGAGACAGCGGCTGCAATATGAAAGAGTGAGACTAAATATTCGACTTTATTTGTTGCCTTTGCCTTCGTCAATATTTGTTGCTATGCCACGAATTTATTGCGTTTGCGTCCTTCAACATAGCACGCGGGCAGGCGACCCGACGCGGCGTCGGTGGGCGCGCCCCAGAGGCGTCGCGACGCCTCGCGTACTTTCACCGCGAAGTGCTACACATTCCGTGGCCGTCCAGCCGTTGCGGGCGGCTTATTTACCAAGAGACTGTCTTCTCTCGGGGCCCACCCGTCCGCCCGGGAGAAGAAAGCTACGGCGGCGTCGCATCTCGAGACAGTGCGGGCGCCAGGAGAAATTCGCGTATGGAACCGATTCAAGTGGCGCTTTTACTCTCTGACCGAATGGGTTCACTCGCCCCGCCCCGAGGGGGGGGGGGAGGCGCCGCCGCGGGGGCCCGTTGTCGTCGCGCGCCGCGGGCGCCGCTGCGGTCGGGGGCGGACGTGAGAAAGCTGGGCACTCGCCAAAGAAGGTTTCGTTTCCATTTCGAGCTCCTCCGATTCGAACTCTCGTTTTCGCGGTCGCTACGCTCGTTTCCTTCGCACTTCTGGATCATTCCATGAAATTTACTGTTAGTGTAAGTTCTTTGGTTGACGAGTTTTTAAATGCTGGTCGGTTTTATGAATTTAATCGTACACAATAACTTGACAATATCACGAATTTTCATCCTATCGTATATGTCAGTAGATAAGAATATTTGTTTTTGGATTAGAACATTAATTTCTCGTTTTTTATGTTAGAAAAGACAAAACATGGTTCTTATTAGAGTCAAGTGGACCCAGATTGATTACAGGTGATTAAATGATGCAACAGTTCACTATAGAACTGGATTGCACATTGATTTGAAAATAATTGACGAGTTCCATCTAATAATCCAATTATAATTCCAACCTCATATGCAATCTAGTTTCTCATGTGCAGGACGATTTAATGTAGTAGATTGTAGCCACCGGTGACCAGCAAGATGATGGTCCACTACCCTACTCACGGTCGTTAGCTCGAGATGCGGTGAAAATAACTAGAAAATTGCTTCATCACTCATGTAAAGGTACCCTAAACTCGGCCGAAGTTTTTTCATATTTTTTGTATTCAGGATCCATTATTAGTACTTCAGCGTACTTTTTTGGATACATAATTTTTAAGAGATCCACTTTTTTATAATTCATTAAAAGTTAGTTATTAAAAATAGGGGAGCAACTATAATAGTGGATGCAAAGGCTGCTGAAATAGCGTGCACTCTACAACATTACATTATAATTAAAATGCTTTTTTTAAATAGTTCTGTTCACCTTATACTTTCATCAACAGTGCATAAGATATGCAAACATTTCAACGGTGGAAACATTACAACACATGCGATAAAAATTGATAAAAAGTTTGAGATGTATTCAATTAATTCTTTAAAATAACCGTTTAGTGGTTGAAAAATTGTATGTGGCTACTTTAGACAACCTCACGACTTCTCTGAATGGAGACTGTAGACGGAGACCGGAGACTCAACCTTCAGCGAGAGGACCTCGACTGGAGCAAAGCGACGCCGACCGCCAACTGAGAACGTTCGCCGCCGCATCGTCTTCGCTACCCCACTTAGCGGGCCATTAAGCACGGCTCTGAATTTTTCATCGGGCTTTTTCTCCTCCTGAAAGCACCTGGCCTCCTTGTTCCTCCAGCCATCGAGTTTCCTCTACAACCTCCAGGGTATCAGGTGGCCTGCGGGAGCACCCCGCCAACTCGTTTCCCTGCCGTTCTGAGTCGTTTGTTTCCAGAAGCTGCATTGTTGAACGAGCGGGCCGCAGGCAAAGGTCGAGGCCAGGGCTGGCAGCCTCTTCGGGGGACTTCACCTTGAATTGATCACGCCATCTGTATGCCTGAGTGGTCCGATGACGACGTGCTCGCGGCGGTAGCCAATGCCCGGCGAGCGCGGGGGCTGGCGATTCGCCCTGGTGAGTGCGGTCACGGCGGAGGCGGCAGGGACGGAGGGGACGGAGAAGGCGATGGGGATGACGGGTGAGGCGAGGATGGCAGCGACTACGGAGATGGCATGGCTGGCGGAGACGGCGGGGTCTGTGGGGGGCGGTAGAGTGATGAGAAGTAGGGTGGGTGGGGGAGGGGCAGGTATGGCCCAGGTGGGTGGACACTGGATTGACTGGGTAACGGCGGGGGAACACCGGGAGGGCGGCCGGGGAGGGGGACGGGGGAAGGCGGGGGACGGAAATAGGTGGCTCGTTGGAGACTGCTGGGACGGCGGCGGAAAATACAACGGGTAACGCGGGCGGGCGCGTCACTGTAATGTCGCTGCGTCGGCCACGAGGCGGAGTAACCACGTGGATTGGTGTCTCCATGGAACCCGGTGCCACCGACTGCCGTCCTACACTGCCGCTGATGACGTTTTATTGCCTTGGAGAGAGGGCAGGGCCACCTTGGACCACTCGACGGCAGCCGTACTAAAGATGAAAAAAGCAGTCAGTCAGGACTCGTGGGTTCTGCGTCAGCATCTTTCACTGCCCTTTGGTGACGAGGCTGGAAACTGCCAAGATTTATGATGAGTGACAAAGAGTATTATATGTCGGTTGGATACTACTATTTCAAATCGATGTAAAGGGCGTCCTTACACAGTTTTGAATATTCTTGTGACAGACTTGAATAAATTACATTCTGCGTAAGAAAAGTATATTTATTATTGTGTAAGTATAACAAAACTTCAAAGAAAATAAGTAGAAATATGAATCTAAATATGATTCTTTGAGATTTTATGCAGGTAATATGTAATATGTAAATATGCAAATTTTTAAATTTCATTCACGAATTATGGAAATTCATATCGTAATGTTTTTAATTTACATTAAAATGTCTTCGCGGATTCTTTGAAGGAAGTAGAAACAAAGAAGCATGTGAAAGTTCAAAATCGTATTTCTCTTATGAAACAATTCTCCCTTCTTTTTTCCTTGTATTAAATAAATCCATATTTCCGTTCAAGTCAGTACCACTTAATTTTATTAAATTTTCACTCATTAGAACTCGATTTCAGATTCTCATTATACAGTTACTCAGTACTTTTACTCGCGGATGTTATCATTGGGTTCCTGCCCAGAATAATTGACAGGCGGCGAAACTGAGGCGCGCGGCTGCTGTAATTGGGGAACAGGCGCCTGCGACGCCACCGCGGAAGAGCGCGAGAACTTTCGAAAACCCGGCAGCGTGCGGTACCCCTCCCCGCACCCTACATACGCGAGGAAGTGCGAAGCAGCTTCTATCCACGGTGGCTGCGTTCGTAAACTTGTTCCGCGGATCGTAATCCGCTAATGACACGGTAAGCGGTTCGCTCGCTTGTGGGCGTGCGCGCGCAGCTGTGACGGCGCCCGCGCGTGCGCTGCGGTACAGAACGCTCGCCTTCCGTCCCTGGTACCGGGGCTGAAATCCCGGTTGGTGATGAATATCGGTCGACTAGTCTGGAGCTTGTGCCGGATGGGAGGGTCCCCCGATGGGAGAGATACCTGGTCGACGTGTAGGTTGGCGCCGTATCTCATGTTCCGGTCGGGGAAGAACACCGCCATCTCCCGGGATGTAACATCCACAAAACTTTCGGAACTAATGACCGTAGTAATTGTCGCGCGAGAGAACACCAAATCGTCATTCAGTCAATTAATCCACGTGTAATCTGTAATGAACTAAGTAAGTTTGCGGCGTGTTTTGCCGAGGTTCTCTCATTTCTCCTGCTTCTCATTGCAGCGTTGCTCCATCATCGTTATCATCGTCTTCAACCACCCATGAAAACCATTCATTTAATGTTTAGCTGAAGTACTAATAACGGATATTCGTAACAGGGAATCTGACTCGGGCTGCGCTTGCTGCGCGCCCTGCGGGGGCCGTCCGCTCGCTCGCCCGCTCGCTCGCGGAAGCTGCAGCGAAGCGGGAAGGCGTACGGGAAGGCGAGGTGCGCCCGCCCGAAGGTCGCCCTTTCACGGCAACGGCGCTGGCGGGGCCCCGTGCGCCGGTGGTTTCCGAGCCGCGCCTTGTGCAAATATGGAGGCGCGCCACGCCACACCACGCCGCGCCGCGCCACACAGTGGGCCGAAACGGAACAAAAGACAGGCGAAAAAAATTGTTGCCTCGAATGGGTGCTACAGAAAAGTGAGTTGTAATGAGTTATTTAGTAAATGTAGCTGCAAAAAGTAGCAGAGATAAAACTGTATAGTTTTTAATTAATTTACAACTTACAAAAATGTCAGTAATAAATACAAAAAACTCATTTCGTTATGAATCAAGATGTAAGGGAATGAATTTTTTACAATGTGCCTCTGAGTGTACAAGAAAAAATCTTTTTTACAAATGAAATTCATACAAGTCTTGACTTGATATTGATTTGAAAGTAAATAGTTTGAAAAAATAATAAATATATTGATTTGATAACATTTACTACAATATTAATTGTATATACTTGTTTGGTCAAAAGCTGATAACTCCAAATCATATTCAAATGCAATTATATTCTATACCAATGTATTTTTAAACGAATTGAAAACTACCTTGGTAGTTCTATTTCTTGAATTCTTTTTTTCTGAATTATTTATTTGAATGTTATAAAGCCAGTTTCGCATCGTTTTAAAAATGTAATGCTGTGGTATAGGTTGAGTTGCATCTGCATGTGATTTCAAAATTATCGTGTTATTCTGAGGACCCACCCCCAAATATATTTCCAAAACTTTTTTGACCTCCTGAAAGGCTTCCGTAGAAATAACATTAGCTCGAAATGCGTCCCGTGCTTTTGTTGGTTGTGGCCCACTGCTTGGCACGCGGAGGGACGCGCCCCGGCTTCGCGCCGGCCGCAGCTGGCCTGTGGGCAGCCACCGGCCGCCCCCTCCGCGTTACCTAACGCACTCCGCGCCGCCCACTTTCCAACGCCCCGGCGCGGCGCCGCACGGCGCGGCGCGGCGCGGCGCGGCGCGGCAAGGCGCACGGAAGTCGGGTTTTTCGGCGCAGTTAGCGATAGGAAACTAATACGAATATTTTTGTCGTAAGCGTGTTACGACACCAAAAAGTCCTGTCCGGAAGGAAAGAAGAAGAAGGGGAAGAAAGAACTGGAATGGCAGCGTAGGTGACTCCTACGAGATTGAAAGTGGAAGTGAGAGAGTTTGTATGTGTGAGGAATGCAAGTATAGTGTTTGGTATTGTATTGGCTTCGAATATTTTTAGATTCACTTTAGTTCTACAGTAGTTATATGTATATGAAGTAAAACAAAATAGAATTGTATTCTAAAATTATACGTTTCGCCCAGATTGTCCCACGAGATTTACTTGTTTTTAAGAATTTATAATATTGGAAATTTTGTTAGGTAATAGAAATGAGTAAATGAATTGTTTTCTCTTCATTGTATAACTTTTAATTCTTTGTATACTAAACATTTTGAATTTATATTCTAATAATATTTTCTCGAGTTATCATTGATTTAAAAAAGTTAATTATTTTTATATTGTTACATTAAATTACTGATTGGAGCTATATAGATCAGATGCTAATTCACAACCCTTTTCACTCCACCGAAATAACATTGCTTTTGTTTCAACACTACTACACATATCATGTGACCTACTTCTCAGACAACCTTCTCGAAACTTCCAAGTCAGCTTCTCTCGCCGAAGCTTCTAGAGGCGATGTTGGTCAGGCCGGAGGTCCTGGGATCTTAACTGGGTTGTTGCGGATGCGGGCGACAAGGGTAGCAGGTTTCCCGCGGCGGTTCTGAGTTACTGCGACGCGAAACGGGTTACAGAAGTGGGTTCGCGAGCGGCTTCCACGCGACAAGACGCGCTCTGGCGCTAATTAGTGTCCGACACGGACGGACTCGTCCCGGCGGATGAAAGTCCGCGCTTTTAGGTAAATGCGCGCGGCGAAAGGATCTCCTCGACGTGTAGCCCGGCGAGTTCCACCGCCGCTCTCCACAGCCCAAAGGCGGCCAACGAACACCCACGAGCTTTTCTCACATTACAAATAATTGACTTTTCGTATCTATTATATCTATTTTTATCTACTTTACTTCTGTTTTTTGAATTGTTTGAGAGTTTATGACTAAATATCCAACTAATGCACCATTCTTTACGACCAAAACGTGGCCAGGAAACCACTCGCAAGATTTCATCAGATTCTAAGTATGAAACGATTTTACGTTATTTTCATTACTTATTTTATGATCATTAAAATTATACTCCGAAATATTTTCACAGTCATTGCACAATTCTTTCACAATCAACTAAAGATTCAACTTGAATTAAGACACTTTTTCAACTTAAGATTTCAAGTCATTACACTTTTTGTTCAATCATTCGTTTAAATCACGTCATAGTATCTAATGAAACAGCTTTTTAAATATATTTGTTTCACAGCATTAGTATGAATAGAAATCTAAATTATAAATGTCTAACACTTTCAGCTTCATAACTCATTCAATTTCATTCGTTCTACGAATTCGACTAATTCGAACAGTTTATTGCAAGCGTTCCTTTCCGGTTTGGAACTATCTCATTGCGTCCTCCTTTCACCAATCGCTCCATTTGCTCGCGCCGCCCCCCTCGCCCGGGGCCGCGGCAGCCGAAGGGAGCACACTGCGGAGACCGCCTCTTCCGGAGGGCGCACGCATGCGCGGGCGGGCGTACGTACCGAGGGCGAGGACCGCCGCCAAAGCCGCCACACACGCGTGGAAGCTCCTCATCTCGGCTGCTGCTGCTGGGGCTGCTGGGTCTGTACGTGGACGGGGCTGGGGCTGCGTCTGGCACTGCGCGGCGCACTGAACGGAGACTGGTCGCCGGCGCGCGCCTCTCCGCCGTTTTATAGCCGGCGGGAGGGCTGCCCGCCGCCCGCGGCCCGCCTGACCTACTCTCCTGCCACCGCGCAGCGCCGCCGCCACCGCCACCGCCCGGCGTTCCACCGCCCCGCCACTTTCACGCCGCCCTCCGCCGCCGCCGCCGCCGCGACGCCGCGCGCCGCACGCGCGTTTCAGTCGCGCCCGGATTCGGATGCCTCCCACGCGCGCTGCCGGCGGTCTCTCTGGCATCTTGGGAATTATTATTTATTCTATGAATGTTCAAAGTACGAATATTGCGTATTCGACGCGCGTAACTCACCCTTACGAATTGCTGTTGTCATCAACCAATCTTGCCAACTGTGATCTTTTATCACAGTCATTTCTTTACTCAACGTTTAATTCGGAATATTTCCCCCGAAGTTTTAACATCTACAAGCGGCAGGTTTACCGAAGAATTGTGGTAAATTTTATTTACTCAACTAATTCGACTACTTTTTAATTTGCCACAGTCCATCATGGATGAAGGATCCTTTACAACGATGTGTCTCACGTCTTCAGAAATATTATTTATTCAGCGAATATTCAGATCATGAATAATTTTATACTCAACGAGTGTAATACATCTTCAATACTGCAAATACAGCCAAAGTTTAATTCGTTATTTTGTCATCTTTCCCACTCATGGTACTTTTCTACATTTGTTACTTAGAAGTTAGTAAGGAGGTGTTCCGTGATCAATATAATTTTGACATCAAGATCAATGATACAATCGTATGAAGATACAATATTTACATTTATTTCAGTTCCATTGAATAGTTTTAACATATGTAGTATAATTTGCACAGAAACTGATGCAATTATCTCTAAAAAATCGCCCAAACGGCTGAATGTAACTTCACTGCCATCTTAGCACCGACACATTTTCGTGAAATCCAAATCTCAATACCCTAGTCAGTTCAAAATATATTGTAAGTGCGTGAATGTATATAATAATCTCTTTATCCTAGCGTATCTCTATGACCGTTTTCGCTTGCGTAGTCACATCAAAATTTTCACTGTAGTCAATGTTTTTATTTCTTCCTTCTTTTGTAATGAGTATTCAAATAAATATTGCTAGAAATATGCCGCTTTGTATTTTGAAGCTGAATGAAAAAATAAAAAATAAGAATAGTAAAAAATATGTTACGAAAAAGTGGTCACTTCTAAATCAAAGAATTCTGTTTCTAATGACCATGTGAATAATTTAATCGAAGTATCGAGTTCCGGTGGCAGGATTTTCAATGTTGCTAGGTCTAACTCAGTCGCTGTCTGGAGGAGAATTCAAGTGGCCCGCTGCTCTGATCAGTAGTTTTCCGTAATTTTTCTGCTCAGTACCAGGCGAATGCCGGAGCAATACCGTAATAAACGGTCTGCACGCGATCTTTCCTTCCCCTCCTAGATATATTCTCGCCTCTCTCTTACACACTTTGTGGGGTTGAACGTTTGACATGAAACAAGGTCATGAAATGTTTTTCAGTGGTGGTGAACAGTCTGAGGAAATGGTTTTCGATGATCTGTAATTGGTTGATATTCGTTTTAGATCCGCTGATTCAGATCTGACAGATTTATGTGTGGGATCCATGGTTTGGGGAGATTATTTATTTGAAATGGAGTGGGAGATTATTTATTTGAAATGGAGTGGGAGATTATTTATTTGAAATTGAGTTTCATTTTCTATTTGATAGACCAGTCGTCAATTTTGTTTAGATGTTCTTGAGTATGTTTGCTGATTAAATAAATGAATGATTAGACACGAAAATGGCGAGGTAATCAGCGAATAGAACTATGTGAGTGTGTGAATCTCTGGGAATATCGACTATGTATATCTTGAAAAGCGTGGGTAATAGTGGTGAGCCTCGAGATAATCCAGCTGTGATTCTGCGGATGTTGGATGGTGTTTATCATCTGTGACTGTAAATGTTCTGTTTTGGAGGAAGCCTCTTTCATTATTTCATGTTGTAACCATTCCCGTCTGTAACATTGTTTCTTGTTATTAATTGCTTAAACGTTTAATTCTTTTCAAATTTCCTCATTTTTGAGTTTATTTAACCTGGTAAATTTTTTACAGATCTCAAGAATTTCATTTCAGCTGACTGTAACGCCTGGTTATCTTTCTCGTTATGAGTATGGCATTCACCAAACAACAGAGATGGAGCAGTTATTACTTTTTTATCCTCATTCGAGTATCTCAACGAGTTTTATCTTTAAGAGTTCTCTGAATGTTTTTGCATATATTCTGGTATTTATAATTTTTTTCATCTACATCCATTTCTGTGAAAACGTTATGTTATAACTCAAATATTTGCAATGGCTAATTTGTTACAGCATCGTACTTTCTAAAATTATATTGATGCGCATAGAATGCTTTCCCACAAGTCTCATTGTGTTGGTATTCGTTTTTGAAATCTTTATATTATATCCTTTGTAAGTTCGGTTTAATTAATGAATAGACTTCTGTAAGACATCCTCATCTCTTACTCTTCTTCCTGATTTCTTAGATCGTCATTTGATTATGAGCAAATTGTTAAGTGTTATTTCATTAGAGAACAGTATTAGCTGCTACAAAATTGCTTCGTTAGAAAATAGTGCAGTTTAAATTCTTGGATGAGAGCATTCGGCGCCGACTTACTCGTCGGCTAGTGGGTTTTCCTCAACAATGTTTCTCTCACCTGCGGGGCACCGCCCGAGCTGCGACAAGCTCAAAGCCCTCAACTGGTCTCATGACATGTTCGTGGTGTAGCGCACGTAAGCATAGGTTGCCTGGTATTAAGAGGAGAAACTGCACCGATCAGAGCAGCCGGTTGCTAGAATTCTTCCCCAGAGAGGGGCTAAATTAGACTTAGCTGGGTAGGTAGTGTCGAAAATCCTGCTTCCATCAGAGTCCAACCCTAGTACTTCCTGGTCGAAGGATCTTCAGTGACAAACTAATGCCTTGAGTAACACACACTGGTAATAATTTACAATGAGTATCATATCTTTTAAGGAAATATTGGCAATGGAAAATATTCTAAATCTATACTTCGAACTCATATTACGTTTTACTTATTTTAGCAATGGAAAGGTAAGTAAGAGAGTCATAAAAATTAGTTTTTAAATGTAATATATGTTTAATCTATTCCATTTCTCTTTTAACTTATTTTTTTCATTTTGGAAAAGTTATTTCACTTCACAAATATTCAGTTCCTTGATTACAATTGTACAAGTATGGAAACATTCGTTGACTAACGCTATTTTTTTATAAAATGTACTTCCATTAACATAAATTGCACTATCAAAACTCTCACCTCTAAAATTTTGAAGTTATACCAGAAAAGATGAAATGAGGACATAGCCCGAAGAAATACACATTGTCCGAAATGTTTTCCCGTGATTTCTGCTCTTAATTTAAGGTAAAATTAGCAAGAGACAAAAAATATCCTCGTCACGTTTTGCGCAGGTGTGGCTGCAACAAAACGTTGGAGTTTCCTCAAAGGGGCGACTTTCGAATTTTTATAAATGTCCTATAAACGTTGACAGTTGAAACTATCAAAAAAGGTTAAGAAATATTCTAATAATAGAAGTCCAAAAAAATGAAGAAGAGACTTCTTTTGTTAACAAATAGTATATAGAAAGAACTATGTTGGGGTCCGTCGTTAACCTGCTATTGATATGTGACTGCCAATTTTACAAGAGATTTTCCTACTCTATGTCTTCAATATTCACATTTACATAGATGTTTCTTGGTATTTATTCTGCTTCATAGAAAAATTAGACATCAATAATGACAATTCTCTCATTATTCAGAAGGGTGTGTGAAATTGTGTTATTGTACTGGTGCATTCAGAAGAAACTCGAGGAATTTAACGACATGATAAAGAGTTTCTTTCGGACTCTGCAGGAAAGCAAACTAGAATCTCAACAATGTTAAAAGTTTGTTCACGGCACTCTTAAGTCCTCGACGTTGAAAGTATACATTTGTTTCCGAACCATGAACATTCCTTTGCCCCATGCGACTGAACTTTGGCTTTGGCTATCAAAGAAGGAGAAGATTTAAATAGCAAAGCCATGGTTTAAGGTTTTTGTGTAGGCAAGGCTTATTTTAAACTGATTATGGATATAATGGTACTAAAGGACTAGGAGCAAACTGCAGCTCGTTTCTTTCAGGAGAGACTTCATCAAAGACAAGTACTTTCTCAAAAATGAAGTGTGTAATGGCCAAGTACACAAACTGTGACACAATTCATTGTTTTGACAATTTAATACGCATTTTAAGTTTGTAATTAGAGGAAAATAAAATCTGAAGAGCTTTCTATTCCGAATGATTCCAAATCCAACTATTTCTTTGACAAATAGGTAAGAGTTAAATGTCCTTTCTTGCATCGAAACAAAGAAGAAGTAGACTAGAGGGTCTGGATTTTCAATTAATATTAAAATTACTAATAAATGTTTTTATGAATTATTTAATTTTTGGGAAAAGAGTATAAATGCGTAGTATAGTACAAATAGGAAAAAAGTATACATTTTTTCACTTGAATAATTCTTGTAAAAGTATCCACATCTGTTATTAGCTTCTACAATTAGCTAGATAGCTACACTTATTAACTTCTCGAAATTTTTAAACAAATAATGACTTATGTCTGAATTACTTTATATAATATATAAAAAAATAATGTTTGTTTGTTGGTTGGTTTGTACTTAATTTGCTGCCGTACCTTTCATCCGATTGCGATAAAACTTTGTCAACATATTGCTAGCAATTGTGGGAAGAATATAGGCATAGTATGATGGGACATACATATTCTTGCGCACATAGACGCGCGTTGTTGATGATTTAATGCTGACTCAAGTGCCCCTGAATACAGCAATATATGCAACGGCACTCTACACAACCCGCCACATCTTGAAGTACGAGTATTAAGAGCTTCATCATTGCATATTCTGCCCTGTGATTGTTAAATTTCGCGTGGAAGAGACACAGAGAGAGAGAGGGAGGGAGGGAGAGAGAGGGAGGGAGAGAGAGAGAGGGAGAGAGAGAGGGAGAGAGGGAGAGAGAGAGGTAGAGGGAGACAGGCTGACAGAGACGCAGAGGGAGAAAAAAACGAGAGACAGACAAAGATATAGACCGAGAGGTAGACAGAGACGGAGAGAGAGACGTGGAGGGAAATGGGGAGAGAAACAGAGAGGCACGGAGAGAGAGACGGAGAGACGGAGACAGAGAAGGACAAGGACGG